TGTGTGTGTGTGTGTGTGTGTGTGTCGCGGTGCTGGGGAACTGCACCCAGGGGTGCTCTACCACTGAGCTGCATCCCCAGCCCTTTCACTTTTAGTTTCTTATTTATTCACTTATCTATGTACTGTGGGGGCATCAGGGGTTGAACTCAGGGGCACCTGACCCACGCTCCTTCCCAGGGCCCAGCACTTTTTTTTTTTTTTTAATTTAGAGACAGGGTCTCTCTGAGCTGCTTGGCACCTGGCCATTGCTGAGGTTGGCTTTGAACTTGCGATCCTCCTGCCTCAACCTCTGGAGCTGCTGGGATTACCCGCGTGCGCCACCGCGCCCGGCTGAGTTTTTATTTTGAGACAGAGTCCCACTGACTTGCCCAGGCTGGCCTTGAACTTGCCACCCTCTGCCCTCAGCCTCTTGAGTGGTTGGGATTACAGGCCTGTGCCATCATGCCCAGCTTTCCAGGGGCAGTTTATGTGCACACACACACACACAGAGACACATACGCACACACACACACACACACAGAGACACACACACACAGAGAGACACACGCACACACACAGAGACACACACACACACAGAGACACACACACACACACAGAGAGACACACACACAGGCACACACACACACATGCACGCACACAGACACACACAGACACACACCTTTTCCCATTTTACACAAACACAGTGTATCCTGGTGCATCTAAGGCCTTGGGTTTGAGCCCCAGGATGGAAAAAAAAAAAGAAAAACAACAGCATGAAACCCTCATCATACTCATCAATGTTTCATGTCCTGCGTTTGTTTTTTCCAGTCAACAAGACAAGATGTCTGGGATATTTCCCTGCCACTACKTAAAGAGTCCTCCGTCTTTTCTGGAGTTGCGTGGTGTTCTAGGGCATGGACTGACCCTGATTCATTTAACAGTCCACTGTTGATGGACATTGAGGTTCCAAGGTGGGTTTTTGGTTATTGTTTGTTTGTTTGTCTTGGGCACCAGGACTTGAACCCAGGGGTGCTTCACCCCTGAGCCACATCCCCAGCTCTTTTCACTTTTTATTTTGAGTCAGGGCCTTCTAAGTTGCTGAGGGTCTCACTAAGTTGCGGAGGCTGGCCTTGAACTCTCGATCCTCCTGCCTCAGCCTCCTGAGCTGATGGGATTGCAGGTGTGTGCCACCATGCCTGGCTGTGTCCAAGGTTTTGTGACATAAATGATGTGGCTATAAACAGTCCCTTTGTGACAGTCATGTAGATAATATAAATTTATAATTTATAGCATGGGTTTCTGGAAGGGGAACTGCAGAGTCAAACCACTCGCCCCTTTTAGGTGATGATCCCATGAACTCGGTGTAAAGTGGGAGGCCAGGTATCCAGAAGGACAGGTGACCAGGTGGCTGTCTCCTGAGGGTGGCGTTGGGACAGCCCTAACCCACGCCCTGCAGGCCTAGGGGCCCGTGGGTCAGCCCCTCCTCCCTGGCTTGGGCCTGACCCACGCTCCTTCCCTGACATCCCAAATCCCTCTGTGGCCCAGGTCAACGGGGCTGCCCTCCGCCCCCTCCGCCCACCCAGGTCCCTGATGGCCAACGCAGACAGAGCCGCTACCTCTCCTGGCCAGCCGTGTCCCAGAGCTGCAGCGCAAAGCACTTGTTGTCCACCATCAAGGTTTTGACCCGAAAATCCACTCCTAGGAAACAGAGCAGGGCGAGGGCGAGGCCTACCTCAGGGACCGCCTGGACTCTAGCCCAGACCTGCCCCAAGAGACACCCAGGCCTGTCCCCAGCCTGGCTGCCGGGCTCCCACTGCGCTCTCCAAGTCCCCCAGCCTCACAGGCTACCGTCGGGGGGCACCTGGGGGGCAGAGGACGGAGCCCTGGCCTTGGGGATGATGGATGGGGCCATCTCTGTGCTGGCTGTGTGACCTCGGGCCGGTCACTGCCTTCCTCTGAGCCTCCCTCTCATCCTCGCTGCGGGGCGAGGGACTGGGGAAGGTAAATGGGTACGTGGAAGGCGCAGCCAGGTGGCGAGTTGTTCTCATGGTCCTTTCTGGTGACAGTTCCAGTCTCTCCATGGGGGGGGGGGGAACGGAATGTCCCAGGGAGGGTTAGAGTCGTCGGGTGCCCCTTCCTGCCAAGCCCTGCACCTCGAGGAACCCTGGTGGGTATGGGAGAGGCAGCCTGGGGACAGGGCAGCCCTGTCCCTGTCCTGCCCACCTTCCTGAGGGGCACAGAGGCCCCGGGCCTGCTCCCAGGTGGGGATCTCCTAGCGCTGGCCCTGCCCGGCTCAGACCTGAGGGGCAGCCACCCTGCTGCAGGCCTCTCCCATGAGACCTGCAGGCACCTGCAGCCCCTCCTTCTCCCCCACTCCCCACCTGGACACTGGGAGGAGCAGCTGCCCGYGGKCACTTCTGTCTTTTTTCCCYCTCCGTCAACCCCGAGGAGTTGTTSTTCTTCTTCTTATTTTGGTACCAGGGGTGGAGCCCGGGGGTGCCTTACCACTGAGCTACAGCCCCAGCCKTTTTAACATTTTGAGGCGGGGTCTCTCTAAACTGGCCTTGAACTTGCAGTCCTCCTGCCTCGGCCTCCTGTGATGCTGCAGCCACAGAGAGGCGCCCGTGCCCAGCTGAGCCTGCTCTAGCTCCACTGATTCAGTGGACACTTCCTCTCCCTAATGATGGCAGGTCCAGGCGTAGGAGGGCAGTTGTTGGGAGGAACAAGATGCCCATGGAGACGTGGGGTGCGCCGTAGGTGGCCAGTAAATACTAGTTGAGGGGATTCATGACGGTGGCCTTCTCGTCCCTGGGACCCCACTTCACATGGGGCGAGCCTGCCACAGGTCCCCCTCCCTCCCGAGGACATGGCATCCCACAGCTCCCCACGTGAGGCTCTGGGGCAGAGAAAGGCTCGAGAGCGTGTCCTGGGCCCCTTTTGTGGAAGGGCCATCTGTAAGCCACCAGCCCGACCTGATCCTGTCTTCCCTGGTGCTCAGCCTGGCCTGACAGGAGGGCGGGCAGGGCTCCCATCTCTGTCCCCCAGAGGGTCTCCCTTTTATTCCCACAAGCTCACTTCTCTCCAGGGAGTCTTAGGGTGGGGGGGAACTTTGGCTCCAGAAAGTGCCTTGGGGCACCTCATTTGCAGAAGCCACCGAATTAGACCTTATCAAACACTTACTTATGATAATAACAATGGCTGACATGTTCCTGAGCACTTAGTAGGTGCCAGGCATTGTTCTTAGAGCTGTGAATTTACTAATCCTTCAACCACCACAGGCAGTGGGTGGGACACTGTGTCTGTCATGCAGACGAGGATTTGTGGGCTCTGAAGGAATCATGGCTTAGATCTGGAAYGGGTCCCCACAGGCTTGGTTCCCAGCCTGGCACGCTTGGGAAGTGGTGGAAACCTTGCGGGAGGTCTTCTGGTCACGGGGATCATCCCTTGAAGGGGAGAGGGGGACCCCAGCCCCTCCTTTTCCTTTTTTTGGCACCAGGGATGGAACTCAGGGGCACTTGACCACTGAGCCCCGTCCCCAGCCCTATTTTGTATTTTATTTGGAGACAGGGTCTCGCTGAGTGGCTTAGCACCTCACTGTGCTGAGGCTGGCTTTGAACTTGTGATCCTCCTGTCTCGGCCTCCTGAGCGCCTGGGATTACAGGTGTGCACCATCTCCCCYGGCTCTTTTCCTTTCTTTTGTTTTCCCGCCCCGAGGTCGGCATCTAGCTCCATCACAGACTTCCTACCTCAATGCACCTCATCAGGGACCCAAAGGCAAATGGGGCTACCCGACCATGGATGGGCACCTCCAAGCCATGAGATTACAAGTCCATCATCGCAGATGTCTGTTAGAGTGGCAGAAAGCAGGCTCAGGGGGTTGATGAATGGACCCAAGTTCACTTCCCTGGTCAGTGGCAGAGCCAGGATCTGAAGGCACACACCTGTGTACCTTCTCGGCCACATCTACACGTGGATTCTGTGCAGGAGCCTCAACTTGCCCGGGGGACCTCCTGCTGGAACAGGCAGCCTGGCCTGGGGCTGGCTGTGATGGGTCTAGCCGGCCCTGCAGCAGCTGCCCACRGCCACGTGGGTGGAGCTGGGCTTGTGCTCACCCTCCACCAGCGCTGCACCTAAATTGCAGGGTGCTTTGTTGATGGGCACATTATAAGCTAATCAGATCAATGCAGAAAAAGCAAATCACCTGTAATTAGGGACGATTAGTGAAATGGTAAGATCACGCCCACATAGAGCAAGGTCAAACGCGGGCCCGTGAGGAGGGCACAACCTACTGCCTCCTGGCCGGGGACTGGCTCTGGGCCTGCTCCAGCTCCCGGTCCCTGACCCCAGGTCTGCCCTCCCCGGTGGGGCCCTTACCCACGGTCGCTGCCAGCCCCGTGGCGAAGGCGTTCTGGTGCAGAAGGTGCAGGAAGGAGGTCTTGCCCACGTTGGAGTCGCCCAGGAAGATGACGTGGAAGAGGTACTCGGGGTCAGCTGGAGGCCCGCCGGCCGGGGAGTCCCCAGGGGACAGGGTCAGCCCAGCCTCCCCGGAGTTGGACCCCAGGTCCTCAGGCCTGCTCCCGGCCCTTGGCTCCCTGGCCCCAGAGGGGCCTGCTTCTCTTCCCGCCAGAGCAGCTGTGACTGGGGACCCGGGTTGCGCTTCTCTCTCAGCCAGCTCGGGGACGGGTCGAGGGGGCTCTAGGGACCCTGCAGCAGCCCTGGGCGGAGGGTCCCCTGGAGGGGACAGCTGTCCAGGAGCAGGGGCTCCCACAGGAGTCTGGGGTAGGTCAGCGGGGAGAGGGGCGGGCGGAGGCTCCTGCTGGGGGGACGCGGGGTGCCTAGTTTCCAGGCCAGGAGCCTCAGCTGCCTGCGGGGAACGAGGGTCCTGCCGGCTGTGGTCCCCTGGTTTTCCTGCCTCCGCCTTGGGCTCCTCTTCCAGCCTCCGGAGAGGGGAGGCAGGCAGCCCGACTGGCCTGAGGGCCTGGCCAGGAGCCTCTCTTAGCCCCCCAGGGTGGCCCTGCCCCAGCCCCTCTGTGGGAGACTGACCCACAGACCGCAGGCCCCAGGAGGGTTCCGCTGGCCCCTCTGGGAGGGCCACAGCCCCCTGGGGGGCAGGCTCGGCCTCCAAAGGAATGAGCACCCGGAGTGCAGCGGCCACCAGGCTCCCTGACCCCCCAGCTGGGGCTCCTGGCCTCCAGGGGAGGGGGGCCTTGGGGCTGGGTCCTGGCTCAGTGTCGGGTGCCAGGCCTCGGGGCTTCACAGGACGCTCTGGACCAAGGTCCAGCTCCTTAGGGTCAATTCCTTTCCCATCCTCGGGGCCGTCAGGCAGCCCCGGGGGGCTCCTTGGGGCCCCCTCTGGATCTGAGGATGGCTCCTGCCCAAATGGCAGAGCGTGTGACTTGGAGAGGGAGATCTGCCTGACCACGCGGGGGGTCTGGGGGCCTGGGGCGTCTCTTGGGGTGGGGGGTGGGCTCCAGGAGAGCTGCAGGGCTTTGGGGGGAGGGCTGCTGAAGTTCAGGAGCTGGCTCCAGTCATCGTTGTCCCCAAACAGCCCAGGCAGGGGCGGCTCCTCCGGGGAAATCGCTGGAGGGCTTGGGGCCTTCTCACGGGACCGGGGGACACTGGAAAGGACGTGGGCAGTGAAGTCAGGTCACCCCACTCCCGCCTGCCTACCCCCCCATCCAGTGCATGTCCCATGACTGTCCCCTCCAGTGCTGGCTCAGGCACCCTCCCGACCTGGCCATGTCCCTCCCACTCACCAAGCCCTCATCCCCAGGCCCACGAGAAGCCTGACCTCCTCCAGCAGCACGCTAGGCCGTGTGCATGTGTGTGTGCATGTGCATGTGTGTGTGTG